CCCCGGCACTGAGAAGAACGGGGGCTCAGCGCACCGCGGCGGCGCCTCGGCGGTGAGTGCGGGACGGGCCCCCCACCTATCCCCCATCCCCGCTCCCAGCTCCCGCCGCGGGGACTCCCTGGGAGCCCTTCCCGCCCTGCGGACCCTCGCGCCGCCTCTGAGGGGCCTCTGGCGCCGGGCCGCGGTGCCGCGGGGCGGGGGAGGGACGGGGGGCCGGGCCGGCGGGAGGGGCCCCGAGCGGCGGCGGCTCAAGGGCGCTGCCCCGGCGGTGGCGGAGCAGCCGCTGCTCCCGCCCCGACCCCGCCGAGTGCCTGTCCCGGGGCACAGCCGGGCGAGCGCTGCCCCCTCCTCGCCTCACGTGTGGCCGCCGCTCGCCGTCCTCTCCGGCTCCACACAGGGCCCCGGGGAAGAGCCGCCCGCCCGCCAGGTCACCCAGGCCGGGCAGGAGGTATAGCGGCGGCAAGACTCCGAGGATCCCTTGTGTGGATGGGGGGAAAAAAGTGCTGTAGTGTGGGGACAGAACCGAGGTTGCGTTGGTACCACTGCAAACCGCGCTGGATGAGTGGAAGGCAATGCGGGTTAAAATGTGTGTGTGTATATGTGATGGGCGGGCGGGAAGAGTGACCGTGTTCAGAGGTGTTTCCCAGAGGGGAAGAAAAGTTTCCCCAGCTGTTTGTAGCAAAATGAGTGAATGTTTGTTTCTGGAGACGCTTCGCTGGCTGTGGATAAGCGCTGCTTGCAGCGTGGTATCTTGCAAGCTCAGATCTGCTTTATGAAAGTGCATGTAGGAGGATCTACTACAGCATACAGCTGAGGCTTGTTGAATAAACCGAAGACTCAGCAAAGTGTTTTCCTAGCTAAAGTAGAGATGATTACTGCTGTAAACAGTACTTGTTTTTCCGTGGTAACGTTTCGCTACCCTCGTGAACATTTGTTAAAATACCTCTTTGTAAAGTTAACTTTCATTTTGTTGTTTTTACAATCCATTAATTACTATTTTTAAATCATGATTTGCTAGAGTTCAGTGTCACCTTTACAACCTCTAGAAAACCTGACTTTTCCTGCGAAATAGTAGGTTAGTCCTTGGGGATTGTACAGCTCTGTATTTGAAAGGTCTGTTTTACCTAGTGTTTTCCAGTAATATTGCTATCCAGATGAATGGATTTTGGAAATTAGTTCCTGCTACAAGTGTTGTAGAGGTGATAACTTCGATTCATAGTGTTATTAAATATGTGCAGAAGTTGAAACAGCTTTGTAGGTAGTTTTTCCAGACTGAAGTTGCTCAGCAATGCCCTCCTCTCCTGTGGTGACTCTGAGGGTGCAGATTCCTTGGAATGCTCGCTGTTGAGATGTGATTAAATGCTCTCATCTGCTGCATTACCCAAGGCCCCGAATTAAAATATGATCTCCAGTTTTTCTACGTGAGCCATGGTTATTGCAGGGTCTGCTGGGTAGATGTATTTTGTGGGAAGGGGTTTGCAGGTTCAACTTTTCACCTGAGTTAGTTGAGTTGCAGCTGTAACTAGACAATTCATCAGCGAAGAAATCGCCCTGCAAAAAGTTAAGACTGGAGATGGGGGAAGGGAGCCCAGAGAGGTATAACCTACTGTGAGGTTTTGGGGCAGTAAGGTACAGGCAGATCTATCTTAATAGAGAGTAGGTAAGGTCATCATTTTACATTTATCTTGTTTAGCAATACTGCATGTGTGCTGATGGGCAAAATTGAATTATTGGAATGCTTAAAAGGAATCACCTGAATCCTGTAATACAGAAGTCCTGGTAAAAATAATAATCAAGTCTGTGTCTCTTGATTAGGCAGACTTTTGAATTAATGCATTACTCCAGTTTCTGTATACCTGCAAATTTAGCTAGAGATCTACACTTTCATTTAAACAATAAGTTCAAGCGTTTGGACATAAAAGTCTTGACAAAGCTTAATCTTCAGAGTTTGTGTGATTGAATAGTCCAATAAAACATTTAGGTTGAGTGTGTGTCATGGCTTTGCTTGGTGATGCTTATTTCATCATTAAAACTTGATGTTGGAGGATGACTTCAGAGGAGGAAGCTTCAGGAGAGAATTTTGCATAGCTCTGAGGTAGTGTATTTTACCTTAGATCCACCTCCTATCACAGCAAGTAAGAAATTCGAAATTAATTTTTTTTTGCAGAAGTAATGCATAATAAAAATCATATGTAGTGATAGCTGCATCTAGAACAGTGGGATGAATAGCTGCATCCAGAATGATGGAAAGAATCGAAGGACTGCTTTAAAATTAGTAATTTGAAAATATGTTCAAATGGGGTTTGTTCTCCTGGGTTTTTGAGTGATTTTTTTTTCCCCTCCAATAAAGCTGGTGTATTTCTGCTCACAGAAGAAATTGGATTTACAATTAAGCAGTACGAACTGGAGATCATAGAATAAGTCTAAGAAGCTTAGTTATTGACTTGAATGAGTTTATTAATAGTCTGCTTAATGGTTTGGTTCCTCTATTCTCCATTTTCTGCAAAATGCTTGGATGCAGAGTCTGTTCTAGTCACTTATTGCCATTATTGTGTTTATTTTCTTGGAAATCTTTTTATACATAGGTATTGTCTGCTTTGTGCAGTAATAACAACGGACAGTCATTTTCCAGTTTCTTTGCAATGGCTTTCCTCAGTCATTGCTCGTAGTGCTGCTCTTAGATACACAAATTCTGCGATACTTCTACCCACAGCGTACCTAACATCTTGCAGCTATTCACATCTTTATCATTAGTTTTTGTTTTTCACTCAGCTTTAACCTGTGTATAATTTGAGTCAGTAGATGTGTTTTTGTGAAGAACTGGCATTGTTTTCACAGGATAAATTAAGCGTGTTTATCACAGAAATAAAGGAGGGAAGTACCTGATACTAGCACATATGTACCACTGGTTTTCTTTGAAGCTGAAGGTTTTCTGTCACGTCAGTGCTTATAAAATGTATTTGCTCTGGATTTGCTTGTAATGATCTGTTTCTTGCGTTTTCAGAAATTTTAATCATGAAATGTTTCACTGTCTTAGGGAAAGAATAGCAAAGGAATGTCAGGCTTCAGTTCTAATTGCAAGAACCTAGCACAGAGATGTTGAGCAAACAGTAACATGCATTTCTAATAGTTTGACCAGTTGTGGTAGAAAAATACATATATTCTTGCTAACAGACTTCCTTAGTTTAGCATTTACTGTGTTTCTCCATTTTCAGATAAAACATATATGCTAAGGTTGCAGCAAACAGAGTGTGGAATATGGACTGAAGAATTCATGTCAGTCTCTTGTGAATCCAAACTAAATTTCTGGCTACTATCTGCTAATAAAAATAGGGGCACTTTTTGGTACTTGGACCAGCTGTCACTGTCAGACAAGTTGTTGCCTGCTGGTATTTCTGCTTGCGAGGTGACAGAGGTGACTGGGGTGAGAGTAATCAGGATATTCTGATTGCTGTTCCCTGTCCCTTCAGCGGATAGTAAAACTCTTATACGTCCTTACATTTCTCTTCTGTTCATGCCTTCTTTGTGTTGCACTTCTACTCATTATTTTTTATTTCTTCAGAGAAGTAAACATGCTTTGCTGCAAAGCGTTGGTGTCACTTATTTTTTCTCCTTCAGAGCAGTAGGCAGTGAGAACATTAAATTTATTTTCTCCCTTTGCCTTCTTATAGTGGTTAGAGGGAGAGGGTGTTTTTGCACTTATGGTTTGCATCATGTTGTAGGGGAATGTTCTGAGGTTTTTAAGTTTTCATCAGTGTAAGGGTTGTGGTTGGAGTTTGGATGTTCTCCGTGTTTACCATGTAGTGAGCTATGGAGATGACCTTTTCCAGTTTCAGCTAGTCAGTACGGATTGCATTTCTGGGCCCTGCCAGCTTTAGTAGTTCTGAAATTGGATATCGTGCATGTATTTCCTGATTTAATATCTGTGGATTAGAAAAAACACAATAGTTCCTCTGTGAGAAAATCTGGGAAGCAAGTTAATGTTCTATCCGAGACTTGCACTGTTTAAATTTTTTAAAATATCTACTTAAAAAAGTAGAATGGATCTGAAAGCAGCTCTTAGCCAGTTTAGCTTTTAAGTCTGTGGAGCAGCATCCTGCTTGTCAGGAGAAATGGGAGATATCAGAAGGCAGCACTTGTGCTGTGTGCTACAGGATACTGGTCAGAATAAATGTGTGAAAAATAACCTGGAAGTTGATATATTTTGACCATGTTACACAGAAGATGGGAAGCTGGAAAGCTAATTAGCGGATGAAAGGATAAGAAGCAAAGTTGCAAAACAAAGAGTTGATAATTTTAGATAGCTTGACAGAGGATTAGTCAAAAGGTGATACAATAATATCATGTTGCTTGTGTGAGGGGAAGTCCTCTAATCCATCTAAATGAGTAATGAAGTAAAAGTCATTGGTGTTTTTACTTCTATTTAATTTTTATAATTTTATCATGACTCTTGATAGTGTCATAAAAAGTGCTATAAAGAAAAACAGCCTGGCAGAGCTTTTCAGTAGTGTATTGGGGTTTTTATTAGTAAAGTCTCTTCTGTAACAGGAGAGATATGTGCCCTTTGATCTGGTAGTAGTCTACAAAGAACATAGTTTTTGCGAATATTGTTGACTTTCTTCTGCTAAGTTTGAAGGTTTTTCAGATTCTAGTCTCTATTTTGTTTGTTGGAAATGCTTCTTCCTGTTCCTCTGATCATCTTGTATCCTAGGGTTACAGGGCTTTTTTTTTTCCTACTCGAGTCCCTCTTTCTTTCTTACCACAAACACTTGGTTGTACCTGCAGTTCTCTAATGCGTTGCTCATGTGGCAAAAGCAGGCTTTGTGAGAGAGTTTCATTAGTTAAATTATCTTAAATCTAGTAGCTGAATGTTTGCTGGCCTTCTTGTTTTAGGACTGGTCCAGTAGGTCTCCACACGATCAGAACTAAGAAACTCCTGGGCTGTTCCATGGCAATCTCATTACCAATTTCCCTGGCCCTGCGACCTCTCTGCACAACTCTGACGACAGTACTACATGAGTGGTAGGAAAGATAGGAAACCCACCTCTGGGGAGTAGAAGGAGCTCTTCAGGGACTTGCCAGCCTACTGTGGACTAAATATATTTTGGCCTTAGGGTGATCGACCAGTGATAATGGGAGTAAGTCCTCTTGTATCACTGCTTCTTACAGCCAAGAGATACAAACTACTCAGCACTTTAGTGTCAGTCTCCTCTAGTTATGAACTTCTGTGTCTTAGGAGATGAAGAGAGGAGAGCTGGTTGTCCAGCTCTTCTGGACATTTGAGAACCTTTTAGCTCTCTTTTGGGACATTTGGGGATCCTTAGAAGTAATCTGGTGTCTCTTTCTGGAGAAGATGGAAGTGACACAGAGTACATTTTATTTTATAATTACAGCTGACAGTATGTTCTGCTTTTTATACAGCAGTACAGTAACTTTGTGATTTAAAAGCTTTTCCAGAAGTTAGATTTTTGTAGAAGATTAAATCACCTATACGCTCACTTATTTTACCATTACAGTGAAACACTATTTCAGATCTCTGAGGTTTCTGTTGCTTGCACATTGTGACTTGAGAAACCATAAGGTAATAGTATTAGAGGGTGCAACTAGCATAAAGAATGATGAGGAACTTGGGAAAAAATATTAGGATAATGTTTTGATTTAAAAAAATTGCCTCTGGGATAGAGGAAGGGAATGTGTCCCCTTACCCCAGCTTCTTACAAAGACCAAAATATACTTCAGTCCAGAATGAATTATCATCCTTGATCTGAAGCAGCTCAAAATCCCTTTAAGAAAGAAGGCCATAATACCTATTGCTCTAAATAGTGGCTTTAAAGCATTTTCAGCTATTTTTATGGGGTTTTTCTTTGTGACCCTCTCTGGGATTTTTATGTATTGAGATTCTTCCTGGATGTATTAGTGTTATTATAATATCATTCTTATATTGTTGTAAATATAGCAGTTTCACTCCATGTTGGGAATATGTTTATTCTGATAACTATGTTTGGGGGTTTTATTTTGGAGTTTTTGTTTATTTGTTTTTTAAGTTCCACTTAATTGCTTCAAGTAAGAAGCTAAAAATGAGAACTTTGGCACAAATGTGTGTCTATGCAGGATATTTTACTATTACATCCATTGTAATTTATATTCTTATCCTTCCATATGTATTTGGGTTCTGAAAAAAATTGTTTAAAATTAAATTTCTAGTATTTTTGTTTGTCAAAGGCTGAGATTCTGCATTATCAGGTTTGAGTTGCATTGTATCAGATACCTATTCTGGCAAATTAAAAATGCAGATGAGTCTTCTTTTGAAGAGAATAAAAATGAGAGTCAAGCCACAGTGCTCATTTGTGACTGTTCATTAAGATTCATACCATTTTTCATTGACACTGCAAGAAAAAAAAATCAATACTTAATATTTTTATATTATCCATTTGAAATGGATCCTCCCATTTAAAATAGATCTTGTCTATACTATTCCCTATAATACTATAGAATTTCCCTGCCCCTCATAATAAGTGTCTTTTTTGTGGTGATTTCATACAGGCTCACCTCATGTTTTTCCTAGCCCTTCAAGGCAAAGTGGGATAGTAAAGCTAAAATTGAGTTTTTATTATTATAGCTGTGCTTTTTGCTTGGATAAATGTTTGGATGCTTCAGGATCTGCTTGTCTACTTTCTGCAGCTGGTGTGGTGATAGCCTGAAGAACAGGTGTAGATTTTAGTTGGTGTTCAGTGTTTCTGTTATATTTAATAACAGCTTAGGGGAAGTTGCCTATGTTTCTGATAGCATTCACTTTGCTAAATGGTACTTGAAAGGGTGAAGATGTATTTTATTGCAGAGCTAGGCTTTTTCACACATTTTTTAAACTCATGGCTGCCATAGATTGTCTATAATTTTCTTTGCTTGACCTTTTTAATTTTCAAGGTGCTCAGAGATGCAACCAAAACTTGCTGATAATACTCTCATTTGTTGGATGTTAACTCCTCTGATTCTTTCATAATCAAAATCCAACTTTCTCTTCCCTGTCCCTGGCAATTTATATATTGTGGAAAATAGATTCATGTTGAGAGAAGCTTCCTGTTGATTGAAAACTAAATTAGACTGTGGAGAAAACAGGTAGAAGTCCCATTGTATCAAATACTTTTTTTTGTTGTCTAATAAGCAAAGGAAAATGCTCCTGACAGTGTTACATGGCAGTGGCCTGAGGGCAAGAATACAGTGACATAATTGGTCCGCTCCCTCTCCAGCTCTAACCCTGTACTTAACCAATGTTGGATAATGTTGCTTTCACCAGTTGAAGGTTACTAGATAAACTGGCACTGCGTTGTGTATGGATACTGTATATCAGCTTATCTCACCCCTGCACAGCTGGGTATGTAAATAAACTAAAAGTAACTTTAGTCTTGTGAAGTTTGGATGAAAAATAATTGAGAATTTGTGTTACTGAATTTTCAGATTTAATAAAGGATGAACAAAAAGTAACATATAAGTGAAGAACATTTAAATCTAGGAGGAAATTTTAGGAGTTGGGTTTTTAAATGTGGTGGGAGAACTTGACTGTGAAAATCAGTTGTCACATAGTTCAAGTACATAGCCTAAACATAGACTTTTGTGGTTTTGGTCGCAATAGTAAAGCTGGGTTACTTATCTTTTAAATGCCACTTTCAGGGGAAATAAGATTAGAAAGTTGAAGAACTCTTTTGTGCCATAAAACTGAAAATTTAGGGCCCTGACCTCATACATTGTTGAGCAGGTCTGAAGCTGCTCTTGCAAGTAGTTCCAAATTCAGTAGTACAAACTAAACATGTTCAGTAAAGGCTGCAGTGTTGAGGACTAGCATTGTATCAGTAATAACTTGCATTGTCTTTAAATTTAAAAATTAGCCATAAAAATGAGTGTATTGCCTCATTTCTTTGAAGATTGAAAAAACAGATTGAATATAAAACAGATTTTTGAAAATTAGCTTCCTGTTCCTTTCTTAGGTGCTGAAATAGCTGAAAAGTACAATTCAGACTGATGTCATGCTATAAATATTGATGAAGTTCTATTTGGCAGCTGGTTATGTTCAAAGTTGGTGTTTGCAATTATAGTTTAGAATTATTTGCTTAACAACTCAGCATTTGTTTTCTTTGACAATAATAGTGCCAAGATCTTGGACTTCTCTTCATGTATAATCCCATTAGTGGGAAGTTGAAACGTCTTTGTATAAAATAACCTCTCTGTTATTAATCATTAGAAGTGAGATAAATATGGAACATTATTTTGGAAAATTTCAGGGTGTAAACTATAAAAGAGTGAAGTTTAAAAAGCAGACAAAGCAGATTGTGTCTTAAGCTTTATTTTCCATCACACTGCCCTGGCCTTCCTGCTGGCTGTGTCCTGGCTCAGTCTGGCCATAACCTTCTGCCCGGGGCTGCATTACAGGGTGCAGTGCCGAGACCTAAAGCCTTTCTGGGGCAGCAGAGGATGCTCGTCTGCCTTTATGGCTGCTGGAGGATTTAGCACAAATATTGCCATGCTGGTGTGAATTCCTTAACAACGCAGCTCTTATTGTAAAAGCAAACAAAGCAAAAGGATAGTTTAACGCAGGAAACCTTGATACTATTCTAATTAAATACAGGAAGATTGTAAGAACTAGATAGTTTGAGAGGCATGGCATCTTCCAATCCTGCCCTGGATGTGAATGATTGTTAGTAATGTTGTCTTTAGCTCTTGTAATTGCTGCTGTTAGTGAACAAGCCACCATTCCCCTTTCCTCTGCACAAGGCTGCTTACCACCTTATCAGTTTTAATTTAGTTACTGCTGCTGGGTTTGATAAACATACTGCTGTATAGGACTTGATGAGTGTAACTGGTGGCTCGAAAGGAAACCTTCGATCTTGAGTTGACTTTAGTGGTATGAATAATCTGTCAGGATGATTCTGTTGGGATTATCAGCAGTAAAGGAGTTATTTATAGCTTTCAGGTTTAAAGTTGAGCTGTTGAGAAGCAGGTTTCTCACTCATCACAACGTTTTGCTTAAGATGGAGAAAAATGCTTTGTGTCTCTGGTCTAGTAGACCAGTGGTGTCTCCACGCTCCACTTTTCCTTAGAAAATCTTGATACTCTGTATTTTGAAGATTTTGTCACTTCGCAAATGCCCTGAAATAAAGGTTTGGTTGCACTAGTGAAGCTCCAGCAGTGCTGAATCCTTTGGAATGCTGGTATATGTGGATTGCTGGCATTTTGAGCATGTTGATTGCGGGCCGTTTTTGCCACTGGGGCACCATTAAATGCCATGATAGTTGTGATACTTATGGTAATGACTGCTTTTGTGCCATTGGGATTCCAAGCATTGCTACTGTTAACAAGTAGTAGCAGCATTAGCAGTGTAAAGTAGCCCTTTTCTGTGCCTGAAAACCAATAATTTGCAAGACCTAATAGAACCAGAGATGAACAATTGAAAAGAATGGTTTTTTGGGTGTTTTTGTTTTTTTTTTTTTTTAATGATTGTTTGTTTCCAACTTTGCAGAACAAATCTCTTGAGTGGGTTAAACTTTGATGTGGCGTGTAAAAAGCATGTGGTATTCTCAACTCATTATCTATTAATTCCTTGCTGCTCCAGGTATCACCACAACTCTTCCTGTGGTGCCGACTGTCAAGAAGATGCTGACAGTCAGTTAAGATACACTACTCCCAGCAGCCTCAGTTAGATAGTTTCCATAAACATTGTGGTGTAGAGTGTTCGAGGTCTTGAAGGAAAAGTTGAAATAATTTGGAGGGTGTTTTGTTACATACACGTTTTATCTACACACATATATTTGTATATGCGCATAAATGTGTGTATGTATGTTTCAGTCACAGTGAAAAGACAGAGTGGAACAAAGCATAAAGGCCTTTGGAAAATTTAACCACTTGGCAGCCTGTGGCTGATTATAGTTGGGATGTAATCTTGATTAGAGCTGAGAAGTGATGTGTGGAGTATGTAACTTAAAATAGGCTGCTGTAGCAAGGTGAGGACAAATATCTTTTATGTTCACTGTAACCTTTAAGGGATTCTTTAGCAAAATCGGTATGAGCAGAAAAGAAGTGGGGTGTATGCTGCTTTGTACGGTAGAAAGTGGCAAAAAGGTGCAAGCTAAACATTTTTTAAAATAAGCTTTTCTGTTTACTTTTCCTTTACTGGGAGGAGAAACATTTAGCACCTGAAATATTGATTTTGTAAATGGTTTGGAAGACTGGGAAGGTGATGATGAAGTATTCTGTCCTTACGTTTCAAGACTGTCTTTAGACTCAAAGGCTAGAGTCAGGGTTTTCTAAAATGAAAGTCTGATTTAGGAGTATTTGAGAAGTATCTTTTTGCATGTTTCACATGTCTCCCTTAACAATGAATCAAAAAGGGTGACATTCTGTAACTTCTTTATGGTCCTTCTGTTCTCATGTTACTTTAGGAGAGCGGTACAGACTAATGTATATGATTTCTATTCCAAGTTACAGCTGTTTATCTTTTTTAAAGTACTTGTGTGATATCTACATGAAAAACTGAAATATTTTCCATGTTACCGAAAATATCAGTGCAAAGAATTTAATACAGAACAAAATATGAAGTTGTGCAGCCAACGCTTAATTAAACATAATGGACACCCTTTCTCATGTCATGTTTTGCTGTAGAACACCACTGTGATTTTGTGGCACATGTGACTGCTGTTCCTGAATATTCCTCTGGATTTTTTTTCTGTGAGAGCTTGAGGATTTCTACCTTTTCCCATTCCTCCCAGCTGCTTTGTTTAGAGTGGTATCTTTAGCTCATTTTTCCTTGAAGTACTAATCCTTCCTGGATTTCCTTCCACCTAAGTAATGCAAAGAGATTGTTCTAAACCATGTGAAATAAAGATGTTGCAAATCCTCTTCTCAAGCACCTGTAGTATCTCCTACCAAATTACTGGTTCCAAATTGCTTCCATCATCAGCTTTGGAAAATTAAGTGGAGAATTACCATCACAGTGAGACCTGTGTTGTCCTGGGCAATTTTTATAGTTAAAACATGACTGTTGCATTGCTGCTGTGCTGTAGATGAAAAACCATGAAATATTTCTGTGTTGTTTTGAAGTTGTGAATGACTTGAAGCCAATATCCTAATTGAGTATGTGATGTTTTTGCTTATTTACATCAGCAGCTGATTTTTGTAAGATGATGTTTTAAGACAGCTTGAGGCCTTTTGAGTAGAGTGTGCTCTTGGTTGCTTTATCAGAATCATCCCACAGCATAAGTCAGAACCAGGTTCAGAATTAAAGTTTGCCTCTGTAAAACATTAACTCACTAAGCCAGGGGACGGGTAAACCACAGTGGCAGGTAAGACTCCCTTTTATCACCAAATGTATTTTCTAGTCAGAAATTGTTTGAATGGAAATCATGCCCAGAAAACTCTTAGTTAATGCTAGAAGATGAGGGAAAAAAATACTCAGTTTATGGCAGTTAGTCCAATGACAGGAACGCTTTGTTCCTAAATAATTCTGTACATTGAGGAGTAGTAGCCAAAAAAACGATGCAGTGAATTTAGAAAAATACCACATTCGTATCCCTTACAACAAACCTGAATAATGGCAGCTGGAATAATTTAGATTTTAGTGATGTTAACTTGGATGTGTAGTGGTAAGCTGATGATTCTGGACTTCTTTTAATTCCTGGAAGTTGGTTATGTTCTGCAAAACCAAAACTGAAGTGTTTAATACTAGCTGTGGTTAAGACAGATTATGTATGATTTTAAATGGGCTTGATTGTTAGCCAGTGCAGTGCTGCTATGTTACTCTTTCAAAACAGTATTAAATACCTGACAATTGGTAGGTGTAGGATTCATTTTTATACATAATATTTAATATTCAGGAGTTACTGTAGGATTACATAATCACTTCCCTTGACTGCAAGGAAACACACTTGTGTGTGTGTTCTCTCAGTTCTTGTAGAAGAAACCAGTTTCACCCCATGTTTTTTCCAGTTGTGAATAGAAATTATGTTTCTAGAGCCTCCTACTGTTCTGTTGTATCTCATAGTCAGTAGGAGATTCCCTCACACATGCTACCAGTGTTTACTGTTTTTCCAGATTTGGATGGGAGATTATGGGGAGAATTTTAAGAAAATATTTTCCTGATGGCAGCCATTCCTTTCACTTCTGTGCACCTAGGTTTGCTGAGCTTTGGAGACAGTTGACTTTTGTTTTTATGTTTGTTTTTAATTTACTAATGACCACAGTTGGTTGACATTTTAATTTTATTTTTTTTTGTCTCCTTTTAGGGTTTTGTTTTTGCACTGAATGTAGCCAGGACGGATCCTTGAGGGCTTTGGCAGCCCTTGGAAACTGTCAAAGGTAAAAATCAAACAAAGCTCAGTATTGTGATCTTGAAAATTGGAGATGAGAAGAACAATAGCCTATGCTGGTTCTTAAGATACTGTAGGATGTATATCTGTTTTAATGTGCTTTCTAGTGTGTTATTTCCTGTGGGTTTGGTGTGAAGTTTGTTACTGCCTGATGTGATTTGTTTCTGTAAGCTAAAGTTGATATGTATGATGCATCATTTTCTTTGAAAATTAGTTAATTTATGTTAAGATTTTTTAAGTCACTGGAATTTGTAAGTGATTATTTCCTATAAGCAATAAAGTTATAGTCAGGTTTTTTTTATCTTCTGAATGCTTCTTGTTTTCAGAGCAACTTGCATTTAAAATGACAAAAAATACTCTGTTCTTCTCTACATTAAAATTTATGCTGCTTTTGTACATTCTTAACAGACCCAATGTAATACAATGCTTTAGCAGTTAAATACAATATGGCTGGATCATGTGTTAAAAATGAACATTTTGTCTGTACCTAGAGGCTGGTGACAGCGATCATGTGTCGATACAATTGTGTCAAATAAGTGCAGTCTCATGTAAGACACAATTTAGTAAAGTAGTGCCTTGTTCTAAATGCTCTTGTTTGAAGTATGGCATGTATATAGGATCACCATCTTGGAAGAGCAATCATGTGCCTGTTTAGCTTTGTGAGAGAGTTTGGGACCTACCTTCAATTTCTGCTTAATATCTGTAATGGTGACAGTTTGTGAGGCCTTACTGTCCTTCAGGGGTTTCTAGTGGGCCGTACCCAACTTAGACTTGGGAATTCACAGAAATCACAATTGGTTGTAGATTAATAAGTGCTTCTCTCACAGCTGCACCCTTTAGAAGCTTGAAGTAAGTTTTTTCTTCATTATCAAATGAAGAACAGATTTTCTCTTCAGTCCAAGCCCTTGAATTAGACAAGGTGCTTAGTCCCATTGGTGCCTGTTTGATGAAACCAAATTTAAAATCATTGGAATTCCAGCTCTCTTTTGCTATTGAGGACCTTGTTTTTTTTATTATGCTTCCCACCTTTCTGTGTGGAGGGAAAATCAGGTCTAGAGAAAGTACCTCATTCACTGGTATTGGTTTTCAGGGATTTATAAATACATGGAAATTTTGTTCAGGTTTTGCCTGCTAGAGTGTGTTAGAATGCTGTAGTGCAGAGATGGTGTCCGTAAGGACACTGCGCTGTTCTGCTTATGCTGAGTCTCTGGTAGCTGCATCTGTCGTGCTGGTCCCAGTAAACAAATTGAGTACATCTTTGCTGCAGAAAGAGATGGAGCAAAAATAGGACTAAATATCAAACTGGATTGTCCCAAAACAATACTGTTTAATGGCAGGACAGTATTGCAGTAGGCATTTAAGTTCATAAGAAATCCATCTGGTTCATATTAATGAATGTTTTTACCTTTGAGAATAGATTCTCATCACTGTATTACATTTTGAAGACTTAAAAGTTGTTCCTAAGTTCAGGTGTGCATTTGCTACGTTGGATGTGGGCATACCAGTGCATTGCTATTTGTCAGGCCTTCCTTGGTGTTGCCTTACTCCAGTTGAAGTTAGATGATTTTTCTAAGGATATCAGGTAAATAAATATTGGAGGATTACAGTAACATTTCAGGTAGTTTGGGTGGATATATGCAAGGGTAGAAGAAGAGGATTATCTTACTTTTGACCTTTTCCAGGAGTTACTTCGATAGGTGCTGGATCTGAAAATCTAAATGGACTGTCTATAAACTTCCTTTTTATCACCTGGGAACCTGACATATCACATTAAGTACTGAATATAAATAAACAAATGCCTTTAGGCTTTAGTAATTTTCCTGATTCTGTAGGATGCTAGTACAAATTCTTACTTCCCTTCCATCCTCCATGTATAAGGTTAATGACCCTGTGTGTCACCTTCAGTGCTCTGGCCAGAAGCTGGTGAGCTGAAGAGGTGATGTCAGTAACATGGAATAATTATGTTGTTTCTTCATGTGCTGGCAATAAGCAGTCTCTGTTGACTGAGAAGTCACCCTCGGTTGTAAATGATTGCTATAAAAGTCTGCCACAGAGGTAGTGTCCCATGGATTCAGGAATCTTGAAGTATCTCCTTTTGGCAATAAATAAGCTTGCAATGCAGCATTCTTGTGCCAGTGGCTAAGGGAATCAATGATTCATGTATGAAAAAGAACATCAAAATTATTGAATTGGGCTCACAGTTTATTGCAGGATGTTTTGTCTCCTGAAAGAACCCAGAAGTATCAACCTAATCAAGTATAAAATAAACCCAAACCAAACAACAAAAGGATAATGTTCAGCAAAACTTCCTCTTGCAACACTTCTTGTAGTCTGTCTTCCTGCACCAGCTAAAAAATTTTGTTGGTGACTTTTCTTTTTCCCTTTGAAGTTTTACAAATAACTGAGCCTTTCAGAACTTCTACCTTGTTACCATCCCATGTATGTGAGTTCACTCTAAGTACTGTATGACATTATATTATATGGGTTTTTTTAAACGTTAAAGCAAAGAAAACATTAATTCTAGGATAAATTAGGAGAGAAAATAGAAATTACAAAAAAGAAAATATAGTGGAGAAGTAAAAAAGTTTATTCATTCAATTTCCTACTCTAATCTCTGAGTTCTGGATAGTTCCAGTGTATTTAATCTGTTGTCTGTGGAAGAGCTTGCTTTTTTTTGTTCTTGTGGCCTTTGCATTTTTTATTTCCTGGTTCTACTGACCTTTTCTTTCCTCCTTTGAGATGCACTAGTTGGTAGTTTTTTTGTCTTCTTCCAGGAGTAGTATATAAAAACTGCTGTCAAATACTGCCAGTTCCTCTGGTAGTGAGGGATCTTGGAAGATAAAACACATCAGGTTTTCAGAGGCTTATGTTTGAGTTCTTCCAGCACTCAGAATGAAAAGTGACTTCCCCTTGCAGTGCTCTTGGTCTGACCTTTCTGGTCTTGTTTTATATATAAGCTTCTTTTAATGCTACAAAATTTTGTAGCTCAGCTTCATTCTTGCTTATTTCTCTGACTTTGTGGCCAGGTAAGTGCCACAGGAATCCTTCTTGAAAAAGCAGTTTTGGCTTTTAGACATCAGACTGTCTGTCTAACAAAAATCTGAGGAGTTTCCTAATTACTTGACTCTGATACTGCAAAATCATGCTCCAAAACTTCCAGCTCTGGAAGTTCTGGAGTGGGTTTCAGAAATCGAGCATGGCGAAGAAGTACCATGGACAGGGACTGCCCCGCCTGGCCTCCTCCGCTGTGGTGCAGAACAAAAAGCAAGAAACGTTTGTTATAGGCAGGAGGATCTTGGCATAGATGTCATGCTTAGCACATAACACCTCTGATTTTTGATTGTGTGCTGAAGGCAGAATATTTAAGTGAGGATTTGGGTAAGAGTTTGCTTTTCTCCTCGTTCCTTCTTTCCCCAGAAAAGGAAATTACTATGCTCTAAGCCTTTACAACTCTTGTACCTTGCACTAGAATGTATGATATAACTGAATGTAACAGTTTGTTGGTTGTAAGTATTATTAAATTGTATGTATCATTTTGTAGCTTCAGGCCCTTAATTTTTGTAGAACATATTCTTCACTCCTTGAGTCAACCATGACAGATGTTGTTTTACCTATGTGCAACGTAACAGAGGAGGTTGGAGTGCAGATAGCCTTACACTCTGAACAGGATTTAACAATGAAGTGAAGGAGGTGCATCATTTAGAAGCTTTCTCTTGTCAGTTTCCAGGCTTGGAATTATTGCTGTGAAGGTGACAGCCAGCAGTTCTTTAGCTGAGGTGGAGGAGAGAAACTTGAAATGCATGTTAAATGCTGGTGCAGTTGAAGAGTTACATAATCTCAAGAGGGACAACTGTTAAAGGCCAGCAACCTCTACACTTTAAGAGAATTCTTAACTCAGTGTACTCAGTGTGAGCCCTTACTTTCCATACACCTGGAATGTTAGAGATCTGGTCATGACTCATGTCTGGCATTTTCAGTGTGAGAGATTCCTGCTGAATTTATGCTGGTGAATTTGATCTCTTCAATTAATTAATTTGATCCATTACCCCTGAAAGAAGCCTCGTCCTCTGGAGTAGGAGACATTCTAATCTTAAACACCAAAGTCTCCCTGATTGTGTTGCATCCTTCCATAAGTTACTTGACAATTTGAAGTTTGGAGTGCAGATTTTGTTCAGTTGGAACTGCACTGATACTGTCAAACAAACTTAGTGGGTTACCTAGTAGTGTTGAATATTGGAAACACTGGGATCTGTTGACCTGGGTTAAACTGGAAATGCCAGCCTGAAGGTGAATTACTTTATCTATTCCTTGAACCATTTAGATTCTAGGATGTATTTATTTTTAAAATGAAGTCAAGGAAAAAATCCTGAAAGTAAGACTTCAGAAGTACTGTGAGATCACTGGAAGACTTAACAATTTTTCAAATTAGTAATGTTTAGGTTGCTATAAGTCTTTAAATCTTATATTTGCACAAAAGCTATTTCCTAGTAAGAAAGAACTCTCAACTCTGGTCTGTGTGGTTGTTCTTTGCTGACTGTGGCTTTAATGAGTAAAATCTGTGACTACATTAAATATTCAGCAATTACTTTAAAGTTAAAAAAAGTATATTCCTTTCAAGTGGGATTTTTCTTTTTCTTTTAATTGAGTAGTTTTGTCCTAACCTGAATAACAGTTCTTGTTCATGTAAAACATAATTTCAGCAAATATGTGCAGAATGGCAGCAAAAAAGGTCATAGCCTAGAATTGTTTATGTGCACTGCAATCTCACATAACATTGTTAAAGGCAGAAAAATCATTGTTTTTAAAATATATCTTTGTTGTTTATCTTTTAGGCAGTATTTTGCATTTCTGCAGAGCTTTGCACAGATCCTGTTCCCATGCAAACTGATGAGGGAGAAATACTGGAGGAAGGCAGTCCCAAGGTCAGTGAGGTAAATGCCACTGTGTTTTAGAAGAACAAAAACTTGCTTGGCTGAAATGGGGGGGGGGTACACAGAGTGAATGTTGACTGGTGGTGGTATTTTTAATAAATACCTTCATGCAGATACTTATTTATTGTCATAGAGATAGTTAGAAAATTAAGCTTTGAAAAACCTTTAGAAAGACAGGGGGTTTTGCCATCCACTAAGGATTGGAGCATGTGTTTTCATGCACTTTCAGGAAGGAAAGAGAAAACTGGTAAGAAGATACTAACCCTGATTGTATTTCATTTGTGAAAACTGGAAGGGCTTTCTGTCCTACTCACCCTCTGTGCTAACTTAAGGAACTGGACATGTGGGCCCTTGGGTGCAGGTGTTTGTGTCTGGATTACTGACTGACCTATATTGAAGGTGTGCTGCTTCTTGTTTCCTTGTACTTGCTGTGTTGTGAGCCTGGATTGTGTGTTGCTTTTAAAGGCACATGTGAGTCTCAGCATACCTCGTTGGGACAGGAGCGTGTGAAGTGTTCTGTTGAATACAATGCTGTGTCCTGCTTTTTGCCTACTTCCTGAAGATGCAAATGTCAAGGCAGGAATTACTTCGGTTTTCATAATGACATAGTCTTAGACTACTCTTCTGTAGGTTTATAAATACAGTTTATGGTCCTGACTACTTGATGAGTTAGTGTCAACATTGCAACTGATCTGTGTTTAAAACGTGCTCCCTACGTTTCACAAAAATCTGAATTATTGTTACCTTGCTTTTGTAGCATTGTGTAAGAGACAGACTGAGAAATTAAAAACTAGAAGACTAAAGATAAAATTTGTTTCCTAGGTAGATCTTTGGAGAGATGTTTTAATTGTTTTAGGGTCTAAGAAAAAACATTCTTTTAGCTGTAAGCACCAAGTTAGGAGGTAAGTAATTATTAGAGAAAGGACTTGGCAATTGTGCTGCCTGTACTTTAGGAGTTTTATTAATTTTAAATAGCTTTGAAGGAAGGTTTGCTCCAGATTAGGAGCTGAAAAACGAGAACATATCAGTGGATGTACTTGCAGCAATCTGGGCTATTGAATGCATCTTTAGACAAGGACGTGATTGCAAGTTTCAGTGGGGAATAGACATGAGAGAGGAGCCATCATAGTGCAATTAATTACTGATTTTAGCATAGTTATTGGTGCTTTCTTTTTACTGCACAGAGAGGATCTTTGTGTGTGTGTGTGTGAGCACACATTTATGTGCATACAAACAGGCACCTGTGCATATATTTATGGATACACAGCTTTCATTTTTTTTGCTTGTGAGGAAGTAAATTGAAGTAACTGTCTTTTCCTCCAAAGAAGGGTATGTTTTTCTTTGGCATGCTTAATTTTGGATGTAATGGTGAAGATTGTATCTCTGCTCCAAAAACTGAATGAGCTTAAATTTAAAACTAAATTCTTTATACTGACTTTGAGTTCCCAAATGTGTATGAAGTATTGCTGTGAAACAATTGTCATTTAGAGAATGTGGGAGATCAGGAATGGTGCATCTGGTGTTTAATGTTACTAATATTGGACTATCTAGGATCAGTATATATTAAGCAAAAAAGTAATGACTACATCTGGCCCTTCTTTCCATTCTGTGATGTACAGGATTGCTCACTGAAGTCTGTTTTTCAGTGTTTCTTCAGTCCGTAAATTATTATCCTCTATTTCCTTGTCTCAGGAGAGTTTTGTATCTATAACAGTTGAAGGTTTGTCCTAGAAAAATTTAGGCAAAATATATTTCACTGTGTTGTCTAGTATCATTAAAATAATCCCCTTAATTTACAAATGTTTACATGATCTAGTGACCCATTTTCATAAAGATACATTTTTCTACAAAATGCCTATTTTAGATATTCAGTAATGTAGTTCAGGTTTTTTCCTTTCGTCCCCATCCCTCCCTACCCACTCCCAACTTTTTCAGGCAGGAGACATGATGTATACTTCAGTGAAGTGTTCTGAAAGAGACCAAAATCATCTGTCGTGGAGATACCATGAATATCAGGATATAAAGATTTGAGTACTGCAAGAATTACTTTTTTTTTGTGCTGCCAACCTGAAAAATAAACTAGAAAGTTTTATATGAAGATTTTATCCTGGAGTGGAAAACAAATGATGTGTTATGCTGTATGCTTGTGAGCTGGTTTGGTTCTATAACTATCTCATATTTTCTGGCATCCTGGACTGTATAGTATTTTGAGATATCCTGGTCAACACTTGAAGATAAAAGGAGATTGCCTCTGGTTTTGAAAAAGAAAACATAATACTGTGCTTTATGTAGAGCAAGTCACTTCAAGTATTCATGGCATTCAAACTAAGTAACTCTGTGTAAGGTATGATCAGAAAATTTAAGCCCTGCAGTTAATCATCATGAAGAATGATGTTCTTGCTTGACTCCTGACAACCTGGTGACACAGTTGTAAAGTCAGCTTTCATGCTTGCCATTTGCCACTCTTGAAAGGAGTGGCAAACTCGGTGGCAACTCATTGGGAATTCAGCTTAAGGAAGGTTACTGACGGACTCAGTTCTCACTTTAGTGTTTACTTCTTCCACTGTTGTTAATGTATGCATTTTTATTTAATTAGTAATCTAAGGTTTTTTTTTAATATTGTGGTTGTCAAGTTATGCTCATGTTCTCAATTTCACATACACTTTCTTTAAAATGTCTTCAACATGGTAAAGACAGCTGGCACCTGTCAATAGCGTGCCCTTGATTCCAATAATTGCCTAATGTTAGTGCTATACAGAGGGGAAGCAACCTGTGCAGAAGCCAGTTTTTCAAATGAGCATATGGGTTTAAAAATTAATTTCATTTTGGCAGATGTGGAAGTCTTATTTGATAATAATATCTGGTCTATTTTATCCAAATTATTTGCTAGTGAGTATCATACAGGGAAGTATCCTTGCATTTTTTAGAATAGCTTAGGGTGGCTGTCTGCTTTCTGGCTTTTCAGGGTCTCTTGTCTTCCTTTGATAAAAAAAAAAAAAGGGAATCATAGAATCATTAAAGTTGGAAGAGACCTCCAAGGTCATTGAGTCCAACCTTTGAATACCACTATGAGGTGGCAAAGGCTTACCAGTGAGGTACAACTGAGGGAATTTTGTAGGACTGATCTCATCAGAACTGTGAATCTAAGCAAGACCCTCATGGTATTCTCCCTAGTCGTGTTTGCTGGAGCTGCTAGTGGGAGGCAGGAAGCACTGGGTCATTCTGGTTCCATCTTCCGCTACCTCTCCTTTGCATCAAGAGGAAAAGAAAACCAGTGTTTCTGCTTGGAACCCTACACCCTTCACTATCATTTGGATTATGATTTTAATTTTTAATTACATTTTGTGGTAGCTAATTTGCTATTAACAATTACTAGGCTTTTTCCATTCACAACTTTAGTACTCTGACAATATCAACAAGCACTGAACTTGTTGTTTGTGACTGATTTCAACTGGTTTTATCCATCAATTAAGGATTACTGCACAGGCAGTATTCAACTTGGTTTCTCAGTTGTTCCTTTGCTGTAAAATGTTGCAGGAGGAAGCTAAAATTTTATGCCTGATTTAAAGTGCTTTTAGATTTCTTTCAATGTTGGCAGGAGTTTTGTGCTTATGCAGAAGACTTCCTTTATCAAATAATGCAATTAAAATGCTCATGTTAAATGTATCCAACTTTCCCACTCTCCTCCAAGTTCTTCCTTCATGTCTCAAAGTAAAAGCCTATGAATTCAGAGGAAGTGAATTACTTTGACTAAAGTAATTTATAGAAAGGTATTTATGAATCATGGTTTTGCTTTGGTGTTGTAGAAGAAAAAGGAGGAAAAATAGATAGTTCTGCCATTTTAATGTTTTGTATACTAAAAATCTAGGTACACAAAATTTTGATGAAAAATGTGACTGCACAGGATGTTTAGTAATACTCAATTCCTAATAAGAACAGAAAAAGCGAAAAGATTCTGTATTGTATGGTTTTAGGTAAATGTAATTTTATTCAAAGTTTTCATTAGTATTTATAGAAATTTTTATTGAACTGAATTGGTAGGTCAGGAATTAGGCTACTTTTTCGTACTTTGGCTCTTTCAAAACCAGTGACACGGACACTGAGGCTTGTCCTGTTTTTCAGTCTCACTGTCCACTGTCGCTTACAAGCTGTCTTGAGGCCACCTGTTAATCCTAATTTTATTTCAAGTTGCTGTTCATATCTGTGAATCTTTCCCTTACATTATTGAATACTGCCTGTTCTCAGCCTCGTTAATTCTTACTTTTCTTGCCTCTTGGTGTCTAATTATGAACTAGCACTTGCCTTCTGTTTAAATCACTCTTCAGAGCTCTGTTGGCATTGGCTATGTTTTGTTGTGATGTTTGGTTTTGGTGGGTTTTTTTATCCTAAAGCATTCACACAAAGAAGATAAAAAGGTTAAAAAGTATGTGACTCAAGTATCTAAACACTTGCTTTCACTTCATACATGTTGAGAATTAAGGAACACAGGCCTATGTTAAGTTAGGTGTTTTTATATTTATAAACAGAACTTTAAAATTCACAAGGAAGTGCTGTTAGGAGTTCTCCTTCCTAAAAGCAGGAATGTACCACTAACTGCATTTATGGGTAAGGTGTGCTCAGTTCCTGCGTCATCATGACAATAGTGCAAGAGTTAGGCTGATGCTTTCATTTTGTGGAATTTAGAATTAATATAATAAGGAAAAACCCCTTAGTTAAGTAATTAAACTTACAGCATCCAAAACCTCGATGTCTGTATCTCTGGGCTTATGATCCTACTTGACTGATATAGAACTGGGTTTCTATTCAGATAGCACTAAATAATTTAAAACATTCAGGCCTATACAGTAATGAAATGAACAGTCTGCTTTGTGACTGTAATTATAAAAAAATATTTTTTCCACTCTAGTACTGGCCTGGTACATGGTGCTTTCAGATGACGGTTCAGTATGAATCCCTGCACTCTTGGAAAATTTTGGCTTGTTACAGGAGGT